TATATATATATATATATATATATATATATATATATATATATATATATTCTTAATTTGCGGTTTTTCACTTTCACTTATCGCGAGTCTTCAGGGTACGGATCCCCCGCGATAAACGAGGGACTACTGTACATCAACCAGGTGTTGACAGGAGGAACTTACTGTACTCGGGCTCGTCGGGCTCGGGCGTGGGTTCCTCAGCAAATTCGTTCGACGGTGGTGGTTCTGTGTTCGGGTCCATCTCTGGGTCAGCCTGGCCCGACAGCTTCACCTCGTACGCTCTGCTGGCCTCTGAAGACAACTCGATCATCTTGTGATAGTAGTCCTGTGAGCAACAAAATGTTTCATCTCATAAAAAAAGAAGCTATATATTTATTGGTTTGATTTTATTCAGCATGTCTGCCGAACAGAACCCTGACCTGTGCACCGTCGTAGTTAAAGATGCCCACCAGGCTCACGGGCACAGCCTTGTTGACACAGCGGCCCAGAGCTTTCCTGGAAAGTGCAAACACGAAGGGTACACCTTGTTCACGACACATGCTGATAATGGTGTGGAGCGCCTCGTCCAGGCCACCTGGGAAGACGAGTTTTTCTATCAACACGAAGCTTTGCCACGTTCACGTATAGACATTTCTCCCGCTGTTGAATATGTACACATTAATGACACCGAGTCTTATTTCCACTGAACTTAAATCTGAAAATAAAAATATATTTATTTCCATTTTTTTTTTCCCTTTTGGCAATAAGACGCCCTCATGGTGCCGTTTTCCCATCACAAATCAAAACAGTTTCCAACTGATTTTCAATCAGAGTTGATCAATACCGGCTTAACAGCACCAGGCATAACAACATCAAGTGTCTTTTATTCTGTTAACTTGGAACAACTTGTTTCAACACCAGAAATCTTTTACCTAAAATCTGAAAAATCTTGTATAAAACAAGAACTAAAACATTTGAACAAACTGCTCCAGGCAGCACGGTGGAGCAGTTGGTAGAGCTGCTGCCTCTCAGCGAGCAGGTTACTCTGGTTCAAATCCCGGTCTGGGGGCCTCTCTGGGTGGAGTTTGCATGTTCTCTCCGTGCATGCGTGGGTTTCCACCCACAGACCAAAAACATGCACGTTAGGCTGATTGGTAACTTTAAATTGTCTCCAGGTGTGAGAGTGAATGGTTGTTTGTCTCGTTTGTCTCTGTGATGGACTGGAGACCTGTCCAGGGTGTCCTCCGCCTCTCGTACAGTGATGACTGGGCACCGGCGACCCCCATGACCCAAAAAGGAAGAAGCGTGTAAAAGATAATGAATGGACAAATTGCTCCAGTTTATAGTTAGTAAAAAAAATAATTAAAATAACCCTCTTCCATTCATTTATTTTACAAGTGTGAGGATTTCCTACTTTCTTTAAGCCATAAATAAAGTAAATATTGTGTTTTTTACTTGAATTTATTGAAATTATTATCATAATTTTGGTATTTTAAACTAAACAATAGATGGTAATCCACACATTAATAATGAAGATAAGTCAGATATGTAGTAACTTTCATATTTCCCATACCAATTATTCAAAGACGCCCGCCCTCCATAAAGGTCGTGACTCGTAATAAATTAATATTCATACGTGTGTTCATCTGAGACCAGTTAGTTCACTGCAGCAGGCAGAGACGCAAATCATGGTTGATCATTTATGGAATCACATGCAGTCCAAAATGTTACAACCTACTAAAAACAACGTTTTGTGAGAAGCCCCAAAATATACTGCAGTGAGAAACAGCTGACACCTTGTAAATATCATCCTTCTCCTTCTCCTGGGGTCTCCACAGTGAGTCATCCTCCTCCATCTCACTCTGTCCTCACTCCAACTACCTCAAAGTCCTCTCTAACTGCATCCATATATCTCCTCTTTGACAAAATAAATGATCTGAACTATAAAACTAATGTATTTTAACGCGTGTTAAAAATACTTCTAAACACTCACTGTTCAGTCTTTATAAACTACAGCTTTAATCTCGAGGTACCTTTAGACTGGATCTGCTCGCAGTTCGGCGAGATGATGACACATTTAACCTTCTTGAGTTTGAGGTGCTTCAAGACCTCTCGAAGCCCCATCACGATCCGCCTCTTCATTCGGGCCTTCATTGGATCCTTCTGGTACAGACGATCCTGGAAACGGACCAGCTCTTTCAGGAGCGACGTCACGCACTCGTCCAAGTCTTTGCTCAGAACCTGACTGCAGTAGCTGACATGGAAACACGTTACAAGAAAGAGCAGCAGACATCTTTGAGTCTGACCGCTTTCTTTTTCTGCAACAGCAGCAACACGAAGAGTCGATAAGTTACGATTTGGGCCTTACTCTCTGAACTTCCTGCTGTGAATTTTAGGTACGGGGGCTTGCTGGAGCTCAGCCTCCGGCTGCACGGGCTCATCTTTATCAGATTCTTCAGCAGCTTCTTCTTCTTCGACTGAATTTGCACCATGTAACTCTGCATCCTCATCAAATTTAGGCGTAAAACTGTCATCATCTGAAACTGAAAAGAGAAACAAAATCAGTTTTGACTCAATAAAATTCGATTTGAGGCGATCCTGCTGCTTGCTCTGACCTGTGGCGTCGTTCTGCTCCTCGCCGGCATCGTTGGCGAGTTCGGACTCGTTTTCAGGCATCGAGCCTCTCTCCTCCAGCAATCGTTTTTGTTTTCTCTCTTCTCTTTCTTTCAAAATGACCTGAAGATTCAGTAGAAATAACATTTTAGACGATGTGCGTTGCCGGTTCTCCAGGTCGAGTGAGCGCACTTGCCTTTTTCAGAGGAGTAGGTTTCTTGGCTTTAGGAACCTCTCTTTGTTTGCCTTTTTTGACTAAAGGGCTCGTCGAGTCCAAGGGATTGTGTGCAATTTTATCCTGCTGCTTATGAGGCTTCTTCAGAGCAGAGGATTGCTTCTGGACAACAGGAAGTCCTCCACCAACTACAATTCAATCAATCAACCTTTATTTAGACAGGTAAATCCCACTGAGCCTCGAGGACTCATTTACAAGAGTCATTTACAATTAAAAACAGATGTCATCCCGATCAAGTGTTAATTTATTATAGTGAAACCAACCTGAGAGAATAACGGGTTTAGTGTCCTGCTTGGATTTTTGAGATTGTTGCTTCTTTTCCAGGGCTGCCAACATATTTCCGATATCCAGCTGAACAGGAACTTTGCTCTTTTTCCCAGAAACTTTCTCTGCTTTCTGGATGATCAGGTGAGCACAACAAACACAACTCTTTTAGTACCATTTTTGCATAAGCATGATATGAAAGGTCAATTTGATTTGACAATAAACACAAACCTGCCCCTTTTTAGCTGCTTCTGTGGGCTGAGCTTTTTCCTTGTTTGGGGGCTGACCTACTTCTTTTTGGTTTTCCTTAATGCATACAAATAATCATAAAATTATTTTATTATTGTTCAATTTTTTTAATTTAACAGTGGAAAAAAATAATAATAAAATCTACCTCACTGCAAAGCTTTGTTTTGCTGCTGAGTATTAACCTATCAGATCCAGTTAGAGCAGCAGCCAAGCCGGGAAACTCCTCTTCATCCTTAGAAACAATGTAATTTATAATTATATATTATTTATAAAGATGCTTTTCATATGGCACTTTCTAAAACCGTAAACATTTTTTTTTTTTTTTTACCTCAAATCTTGGAGGTTCTGGAGGATTTATTGGCTCCTCTGACTCAGCTTCAGCACCTTCAGCACCACCTTTGGCTTTCTTCTTCTTTTTTCGTTTTTTCTTTCCTGTGGCTCCGTCTTCATTCGCTGCAGCAAAGTCTTCTGTCTGATGAGACATAAAACGGCAATAAATAAATAAAGCTCTTAAACAACAATGTCCCTAGTAACAAATACATAATTGAATTATCTCAATAAATGTGGTTTAATGAAGGAAAACGAGTCAAAATGTTGTTTTTCCTTTTTCCATTTCAGTTGCTTCCTTCCTCAGGACTCGCATGAAGTGTCCAACATGATAAAGTCTAAATATCAACCTTCTTAAAACGGGTGTAAACATATACAGATGTTTGCAAACAAGCAGTGGCAGCTGGTCATTTGTGGGGCATAAAAAAATCAATCATTCACCCCACAAAGTAGTTTCTCCTAATAAATAATGTGAATTACTTATTTACTGAACTCATGTCTTGTTTTGTGTATTTTTCTACTATTTCTGGCAATTTTAAGAGGAATTTTAAATTATTTTTTACAGATTTATCCTCAGTTTTTTTTTACTTATTTACAGTTATGAGTCAGTATCGTTCAACGACCTGCGTTCGTCAAGCGGATCCGAACGTGCAGTCAGTGATCCCAACAGGTAGATCCAATATATTCGTTGTTTATTTTTATATGATTTCAGAGTTACTTCGCTGACCTATTTTTCTCCTATTTAACTGTGTTAATCTGGAATATTATTTCAGAACTGTTACTTGGCTGGTGTGGGTGGTGTTCGTCTCTCTGATTTATAAGACCAGATTGCTTTTCATGGGACGCAACCTCGACCCACGGCAGGGAGAAAAAAAAAAAAAGGCAAAAATTTTATAGAAACATAGAAAAAACAACAATAAATGAAACAAATATCTGTATTTTTCTCAAAGAAAATGTAACACAACTGTACAAATTTGTGCGGTTAGTGATTCAGGAAATTGTCCGCCCCACAAATATTTGTTGCAAGTATGCAAATTTTAGTTTGACAATAAATCTCTTTTCAAACAAAAACTAAAGTTCTCGTTTGTCTGGGTTTGCTTCACAGCCTTTGTTAATCACAAGACTTCAAACGTTAAATTTAGGATGTTGAAAATATAAGACGAAAGACTTCACTCCCTTTCAAGAATAACTGCAGTATTTGGGAACAAGAACTCCCACCACAGACAGAATGTCTTGCAGAAACAGACTGGCTTCACTGGTTGAAGTGATTAACAAAGCGCTTCTCAAAAGAAATAATAAATGTGAAGATCTGAACTTGGATCAATAAGAAAGGAACAATTTAAACAAAAAGCCAAATCCCACCTGCATGGTGCTGCCGCTGAATGTCTTGTCCGGGAAAACAGGTCGGGTTTTTGGAGGCTGGGAGGCAATATTTGCCCAGGATGTCACCACTGGTGGAGCTATTTAAACACGATAAAGCGTGAAAAATTATTGTCATTTTCATAAAGGAAAGGCTGCATTAACTCTGTTTCTACTCCACCTGCTGGGCTAACAGGGGTGGTGACTTTAGCATCAGTAAGGTGTTGCAAGCAGTCCTTCTGTGCTGCGGCTCCTCTCCTGACCTGCTCAACAACAATCAATAAATACAAACCACATTAGAATAAAATGCATGACGTTGCTTGAGCCGAATCGCACAAGCATTTGGCACCAACTAGCTCACATCAGACATGTTAATAAAACAGTTTACCTTCCAGGAAGTTGGTTGTGCTTGGGGGTTTGCAGTTTGATAACTTGGACCCAAACGCTCTTTCTGAGCTGTGCATCGAGCCGCTTCCGACTGTAAATCACCAGCTAGTATTGGAAAATCAGCCATTTTCACTTCAAACGGGACAAAGTTGGTCTGTGCCGACTTCCTTGCAGGGTTTGGGGCCGACCTGACACCTTCGACACCTGAAAACGGTCCACACAAGACTAGAACCAGATCTGGGCTGTAAAACAGAAGCGACTGATGTATAACAGAATACCTTTTTTCTGCGCATCCACTGAGTTTTTACCCACAATCCTTCCCTGAGAGTTAATGCGGCTTTTAGATGCCTGAAAACAAACAAACAAAATATTAGTCGACCGTTTAATTTGGCTTATTCAGCTCTGATGACACAAACCTTTCCTCGATCTTTGACACTGGTTTCTCTGACAGGACGGTGGCTGCTGTAGCCATGACTCCTGGACCCATCTCCTTCTTTTCCTGGTGGTTTTGGGATCAAATTTGACCAGTTCCTACAAGTGTTAAGCCATTAGCAAAAACATTATTAGAAGAACAAAAAGGCGACTTTGACCATAAGATAATAAAATTGCTCTTATTATTCCAAAACCTTGTTAAAGTTGGGTTGGACACGTATGGATTGGGCAGGATCAGAGGGGCTGAAGCTGTTTGAGGATCATCAGCCTCTCTCCTCGGTCTCCTCTGATATTTGTAATCAGAAACCGAGGTAAAGGATGTCAACTCGCTCTCCTGGAAAGAGTAAAACCTGAAATCAGCTTGTACGACCTTTGGCCGCCATACTGACAAAAAAAAACACAAGGCAAAGCTAAAGAACTGTGCTCAAAGCTGCCGCTTCTTCCACATTTTTAATCCCCGCCGTGTGCGAAAATAAAACAAACCGTTTGGCTAACGCGTCACAAATATAACAATTCTGTGTGTTTCGATGCAAAAACTAGTTCAGGTCAAATTGCTCGAGTCTCTCAGCGTCGTCTGTAACCCGTTTAAAGTTTGTAAACATTAACTTTCGCTCAACTGCGTACGAGCGTGACTTAGCTTTCTAGCTAGCCCACAAAAACATGCTAAAAACTTCCTTACCTCGTCCATTATGTGTTCGTGTGTGCGTTTTTTTTTTTTTAATGCAGCCACATCTTCGCTTTTTCACCTGGGCTTGTGCGTGTCCTTAAACACTTCATTACGACGATACTGCTGCATTTATCTGATCGTCTGTGACGAGCACAAGCTGTATGATAGCATTAGCATGGGTGCTAGCCACTAGTAGGAACGGAACAATGGCGGCCTCTAGTGGTCTGGGGGTGTAAGTGACTTTAAAAACGCTGAGCCTGTACACAACGTTGAGTCAGGTCCTCTGGACGGATTCTGCTTTGATGAAACGCTTCGTCTTTTTCCCAAAATAAACAGTCTTATAAATAGCACCTTATCATAGTCGTTGATCCACTACTATTCATTTAACATTTATTTATCCAGGTGAGTCGCATTGAGTCATGAGGACTTATTTATAAGAGAGACCTGTTTGGATAAAAGTACAGACAACAATAATTCTACAAAAAAAGCAATTAAAATCAAATTATAAGCACAGTCAAAAGCAAGATGCCATATAAAATAAGGTTAAATACTAAAAACAAGATCATATTTGCTTTGATATTTCTATTGACAGTATCAAATGTTCAATAAACAGTGGTTAGTTTATTCATTTTTTATTTTATGACATGCCGATTTTAAATTGTTTTCATTATTCATTTTATTTATTGCTTTTAATTCATTTTTAAGAATGCATTTTTTTTGTTACACCAGAAACAAAGACAATATAGTGATTCTAATTCTAAAAGGGATAATGTTAGTCTTTTTTTAAGGTTTATTTTGTTATAAGCATCAGTATTTCTAAGTAAAATAACATTGGTTGTTCATTCCAATCAAACTCTTAAAAGAAAGCTTTACTTTTTTTTTTTTAACATCAGGTTTATGTGTTAAAAATAGGAGAAACCTTGTCAGAATCAAAATGAAAACTTTTAGGACTGATCTTAGTGGACATTTTCTTTTACTAAATCTTCAAAATGCCTACAGTCATAAATATATTATGTGGTTTGAAGCACGCCTAACAAGTGAGCCACGATGAGCACATCTTGATTATATTTTAGCGTTATTTAAAAATGCATTTGCTTTTAACTTTGAAGATAAAAGAATCTCCCTACAATTTGGGTTAACAAGTCAGATATCTGAGCTTAATGGCAGATTCTTCGATCAAAATCTAACTTTATATAAATGTTTGCCTCCACTAAAACTGTTTTGGGACAACTCAGTCTGAGTTGATTGTTATTTAGGAAAAATAAATGACAGAAATGAGGAAAAAGTAAATGAAAGTACAGCAACAGATAAGAGCATAAAACACAAGCACTGAAAATATCAAATGTATTATTATTTTAAACATAATTTTATCCTTTTTGTAGGGATTTGTGAAGAATTTATTTAGTTTAGCATAAATGAAACACACGTTTGTTCTTTTTTATTGCAGGAAAATATACAATTACTGTCTTTACAACAAGAAAAATATAAAATGCTGCTTTAGAAAATGATCAATCTGAGTAAATGGTAAAGTACTTATAAAATTATGTAACTTTTATGCATATAAAATGTTGTTCATCAACTCTTGCATGTGTAAAATGTGCAAAAAAAAAGAGCTTAATATCTGTCCATTTCTTATCCATACAATAAAATATTCTGAACTCATTCTTCTATTTCAGCATAGATTTTTTTTTCACATTATTTTGTTTCTTTGATGATTTTTGACCACCAGAAAAAAATAACAAATTCTCATTAACGCTGAAGGAATCGGTGATAAATCTGTGCTCGTTCTCTCAGTGGTTCAACAAAACATTGTTATTTTTTAAAAAGTCTTTTTGTGGCTTTGTGCTTGGATTTTGCTCAGGAGGATAAGTGGAACCACAAAAGAGGCAGCCGTCAGGAGAAAGCAGGTCTGCGCTCCGGCAATCCAGTACACTGTGAAAGAAATTATAATAATAAAATAAAAGCAATCAAATACGAGCTTCATAGATACATCTTTAAAACACCAGACATCGTCTTTACCAGAGGATGACACAACGGGCCCAAATGCTCTCGCCAGGGCGCCCAAACTACGCAGGATTCCCATCACAGTGCCTTTCTGACTGGCAGAACCTGAAGGAGAATCCACAGAGAATCAGTGGAGATTATGGTGAAATAAATAATCTGTGAAAATCACTTAAAGGCTCACCGTGGTCTGAAACAAGCATCGACAGGCAGGGCACGACTACTGCGGCCGCTGCAACATAAAAAACAAATAAACCGACACCGTCGATAAATAAAAAACATAATTTAAACGTATCTAATGTATCATCCGTACGATTTATTTCTAGATTATACTGCGTATTAGTCAAGGCAACACTGAAACTAAGTTCTCAGAGTTGATTTGGTCTTGGCGTCACTCATCCCTTGATTAGTTCGACACATAAAAATGCAGAACAATCTAATGATCTCAAATGTTTTTGTTTTTATTGAGAAGAGTCTGGTGGCCATATTTGGTAATTACATCGTATAAACTTTTAACTTTTAACAGATATTACTGAGAAATATTTGTCTTGATTAAACCTCCTCTTCTGCCACTACACTTTAATTAAACAAATCAAAATTAGGCACATAATTTAAAGTTTACTTCAAACGTTGCCGTCAGAGGATCCTTTTTGTACTAGATTAAATTTGCAATATTTTAAAGCTGCTTTAATTCTAATATTTTGTATCCATTCATGTATATTCTCAAGTATAAAATAGATTAGTCCTGACTAGAGGCAGAACTAATGCATTTATGTTGTTTTTTTCATTAAACGTGGTTTAAATCATCTTTGACTCACCGTATGAGTACAGAGCTAATCCAGCATAAAGCATCACCATATTCCACGATAACCCGATCAGGAGGAACGCTGGGATCAGTGTCATCATTGCCTAAAACAGAAAATTCATTCATTTAGTTGTTTGTGCAGATGTTTCACAAAAAGTATTGTTTATGATGTCAAAAGATGTTGTTTTTTTTACCCTCTTAACGGCGCTTATTTGTTGCCCGGGGTTGATCCGCCGAGCGTACCCCCCCTGGATTAGAGCCATGATGACACCAATGAAGAAGAACATCTTTCCTTGCTGCATACTAGTGAAATAAAACCATCCTGAATTGGTCAAGTTTTTTTTCCCCAATGACTGATATAATCTGCAGCTTTATCTCTGAGCTCAGACCTTGTAAACTGGAAGCGCTGGTGAGTCAGAAAACTCAGGGTGAACTCCAGACCAGAGAACAGGAAGAGGTAGCAGAAATAAACCAGACCCAAGACTTGGAGCGTCTGCATTCCTGCAAAGACACAAACCGCTTGTAACAGAATAACAAAGTCAACTGGTCTCTCTTGTAAATGAGACCTCGAGGCTCACTGGGAACTAACCAGTATAAATAAAGGTTGAATGGATCTGTGCTATAGGAATGGATAAAAGGATGCATGTCTGAGTTAGAGCGGGCAGAACCAGAACTCACTGTGTTGTGAAGGCGGATCTTTGGTTTTTGTCACAGCAGCAAAGTGGAACAAAGACAGAGGACTGAGGAGGTCCCAGGAGCCCCCACACCCTGAGGATGAAGCCTGTCCAAAAGGAGAAAATGATTTTAAACTCTTTACCAGAGTAATATTGATTCTAGATTATTTTATCAGACAGTTTTTAAACATTAGCTGCAAGAAAAAAGGTTTAGGTTAATGCTGTTATTACATGTGTTGGTGCGTTACTATTACATCTACAAATCTAAAGTTACCCCAATTCAAGATGGCCACCACAGTTAATTAGCAGCACAACTCATGACTGTCAGTTTTTCTATAATGCACTAATATTTGGTGTGGTAGTAGCTGAGAGTCATCCTGAGCACATACTGTGAAACCCAAGAGGTCACATCTTTGTTTACAGCTTTGGCATGTGGGGCAGATCTTAATGTGCTTTATATTAAAAATCTATTGTGTTTAGCACACAAAAGCAAGACTTGGTTTAAAAAAAAATCATTAAATTTATACTCCATCTTTAAAAGATTCAAGATTAGAGGAGGAGGAAGATGAAAATGAGTTCTCGTGGCTCAATGAGACTACCTGTATAAATAAAGGGTAAATGAAAAAAATATATATCTGAGTAACTTAAAGTAAAGGAGTGGGATTTAAAGTTGCTGCGCATTAATGAGAGGCTTGAGGCTAACCAGGACCACATGAGAGCCACTGCAGGTCCCACTGGACACAAAGATCATTAAGTGATGACATGTAAAACATCAAAGTTTTAATAAATGAAAGAAGAATGATTTAGGTGGAAAAAAATAAAAATAAATCCCCACACTTCAGTTGTAGGTAGAGCTGAGTTTCAACAATGGGAAACAATGTAAAAGCATGTAAAGAAAGAATAGTAGGCCAAGAACTGAGCCCTGAGGAACTCCAAGAGTGGACACAGTGGTCAGAACGTGTGTGGGGTCAACTGGGTCAAACAGAGCTGTGAGGTCCAAAAGACCTGCAGAGTTCCCTGAATCTGTGTAAAGTATCGTTAAAGATTTAAAAGTGAATGGATGTTTGTGATTTTGATGATATTTCAAAGTGAATGTGAACTTTTTATAAAAACAAACTTCTTTAACTTCTGTTCAGTTATTGTGCGCTTAGTTTCTGTTTTCAGGACATTTAAAGTGTTCGATTCTGATGATGTCCAGTTAAACTGAAGTTGATGGTCTGTGTTTGTTTCGTTTGTTTTTTAGTAAACTAAGCGCATTCCAGAACAAAACAGGTTGTTTTGTCAGGTGCTTCGTTTGTAAACGTCTAAGCCTGTTAGCTCCGCAGAAGATGAATCACCAAACAGAGGATTGCAGGGCGTGTTTTTCTTTCTTTGGACCCACACCAGGAACTTCCTGAAATAGAATCCTCCTTATTAGAGTCCAGGAAGTTGCTTTTATTAGGCAATAAATAATCACCACAAAGTATTAGTTTTTTTTTTTACATAACTACATTAGTTTTACAAATACCATTTTCATAAAGAGAGCTTCAGGTGTGCTGGAAGGTCAAAGTTTTACATTCACACCAACCTGAGATAAATCATTAGAGGAAGTCAAGGTTCTGTTCCGTGTCCAATCTGGCCTCCATGCAGGGTATGGCTGTATCACAGCTATTTTAAAACTTCTCAATGACATAGCATCTGTGTTAAATTCTAAACGGCATTGTGCAGCAATGACCTTGACCTTGCTAAAACCTTCCACTCTGTAGATCACACCTTCCTATTAGAGATTAGACTGTATCGAAATGGCCAGACACATACATGGTTTTCAAATGATCTTTTGAATGATCTTTGTCACAGCAAGTAAAGGTTGATCCTTAGTTTTCACATTTTCTCCCCGTCTCATCAGGTGTGCCCCAAGGTTCAATTCTTGGTCCAACTCTTTTTTTTTATTTATAAATGATATTCACCTATATGCTGATGATACAATTGTATATACCATCGACTCCACTGCAGGTGATGTGATAAAGTCTCTTACACATAGTGTGTTGTGTATTTCCTTGACTGAAGAAGCCTTCTGGATGAAAGGCGAAACGTTTCAGCAAAAAAAAGAAACTGTCCAGATGACCTGACTAAAAATTGTTGGATTGTATATCTGGATTATTGAGCATGGACTTTTTTTTGGTTTTGAACCGGTTTGATATGACTGTCAGCGAGGAAGAGGGCTGGCACCGGAGGAGGGGGCGCACCAAAGACACCATTTTAGCACCAACATAACTGGTTTGTTCCACTTTGGAGGAAGCTGTTTGGGGGAAAAATCAGTTTTGTGTTGTGTTGACTGATGAGCTTTTGATTATTTAATTTCTATTAATACGTTTTAAGATAAGAACTTTATTGATCCGGCAGGAAATTGTTGTGCCAGAGTTTCAATACAAAGGGACATGCACAAGAGATAAAAAATAATAGAGAATATAAAAATAACGGAGAGGTATAAAAATACCAATAATTAAGGTCCGAAACAGGTCAGGGTCAGACAGACACATTAAAGTGTTGTATTATTAGTGTTTAATGTCATTAGTGTTTGTATTATTGCTTGTTTTTATTGATTATTTCATTTCTTTATTGTTTATTTTTGTATTGTTCTTTCCTTTACTCTTTCAAGCACCTTCTGCACTTGCCAGGCCGACGCTGTAAATAGGAAATTGCTTTTAATGCCTTGTGTGGTCAAATAAAGGTTAAAAATAAATAAATTTAAAAGTAATATATTATATATTATGTATTTCAGATACCGGTCTCCTTGTTGCTGCTCTACTTTGATTATTCCCAAATGTTTTGGTTCTCAACCCTTAAAATAAAAGACGTGGAGTTTAGGTACAACTATCACTAATTAACCATTGAACTCAAATTCTTGTCAACAGTTAATCATTTATGATTATCATTTTTTTATTCCTTTATAACTTTTAATGTTAAAAGCATTAGCGGTAATCATTTTTAAATATATTTGAATTTCTGTAGATCTTCTCAAACCCCCTCGGTTGGTGTTTCACGACCCACGGTGGGGTCGTGACCCCAACTTTAGATGAACTGCACTAAACAGAAATGACTCGTGCAAAAAAAAAAAAAAGCAACAAAAGTTTGTTAATGCAACTTTGACGACAATATTACTCTACTACGGTAAATGACAACAATAATAATGAGAGCAACGTAAATATTTAAATTTAAATTAAAACTGCCTGTTTGTGTGTGATATTTCCCCTTAAAGTTAAAAAAGTTTGTGCCTTCAGTGAATGTCTCCATTTTGCTCTGATTAATCCGCTCACGCGATGTTTAATATTAAACAAATTGCAAACACGCAAATGTTAATGTTAATTTCCACAAAGCTCTCCAACTTTTCTGAAAGAGCTGCCAAAAACCATCATAAACTACATCTGCTTCCTCAAACGTGTTTCTTTACGTTGTTCTTGTTTACAAAGGAGGAATGCTGCCATAAACGAACCTTTGCTTCCTTTAACGTCTCGGGCAGCATCAGCCAAATAAAAAGCAGATCGGCGACACTGAAGGCCAAGGCGAGCAGAGCCGGAGTTTGGTAGAAAACATTTTCTGTTGTTCTGGAGTTCATGGCAAAGTAGGCTCCCATCAGGGGTCCAAACGTGAAGCCCAAAGAAAAGGCAACACCGATCATCGCCTGGCCACAGTAATACGAAACAGAACAAGTTGCATTAAACACAAATAAAGGATGTTTACAGTGGCGAGACGAGCGTGACAGACGTGCTTACCATTCCTCTGTTCCGAGCTTTCGGACACGGCAGGTCAGCCACGATGGCAGTGCAGAGGCTGACGTTGCCCTTACAAATCCCCCCAATTACCCGAAACAAAAGGAACATGTTGAAGCTCCGGGAAACAGCCCAGACCGCATAGGAGGAGATCAGCCCCAACTGAGAACCAAACACTTCATTAAACGTGGATGAATCAGCGCTGACTCACGATGAGTCCACCGCATCGCCAACTAGAAATATTTGTGTTACTTTATAGCGTGAAAGCACGAAGAGGTTTACGGCTTAAAGTTGTACTCACGGTGGTGAGAATGAGGAGGGGTCGCCTGCCGTGGCGGTCCGACAGAGCCCCCGTCACGGGCGACGACAAGAACTGCAGCAAAGAGAACAGCGACCCGATCAAACCTGAAAGGGAAAATACGAAGCAATAAACTTTAAACCATTCCCCCTTTCTTTCCACTTCATGGTAAAAAAAATAAAAAATAATCCAACAAACCTCCAAAAAGAACAGAGTTGTATTTCTTTTCCAAAGGAATCCCAACAGCCTCCCTGAACCAGTCCACAACACTCTGCAGAGACTGGTACGTGACATCCTGACCCCGAAAGAAACACAAAACCATCAAAACCAGGACTCGACCAGAGAGGGGCTCGGGATGAGTCGGCATGCAGACCGGCTAATCCAATCTCAGAAGATAGTTACAGTTTTTATGGAGGAAAATCTTCACACAAAAGTTCTTTTGTTCAAACAAGACTGAACACAGAAATCACTTTTTTTTTTTTTTAAATAGCAGCTAAACTATATTTCTCTAACTCAGTAAAACACTTTTTACTGTTTCACATGACTGTTGTGTTCTTTAGTTAATCCTCATTTTCATATTTTTTTGTGCGTGAGATGCACATCTGTTTTTAAAACGCGTCAGAAAAATCCACCAACCCCTGTTTGTGCATAATGATCCAGGATGGAGGGCAGCAGAGGCAGAATCAGAGTGAACCCCAGCAGGTCAAGCAGCAGGAGGATAAACACCATGCTGATGACCTTCGATGAGAAGGAACCTCCATCTTCTGCAGGTTTGCTCATAGCTGGCATCCTCCAGTTCAATGTACTGTTTCTTCAGGCGATATCAAGACAAAGTGTCAGAAGCAGATTCAGGAAGTTTTTTAGTTGGGTTTTTGTTTCTATCTTAAAGTGTATCAATCTACTCATAAATTAGAGGCATCTTTTACTAATAACGTTCTTGAAAAATGTCTAAAAACAACCTGCACAACACTTTTAGTGTGCAAGCTCACATTGCCAACTTTTTAGTCAAAGAAGAACTTAAAAAAAACTCAACACTTTTAAACTATTTTACAGGAAAACAAGTTTTTTAACTTTAATCTCAGAGTTTTAAGCTCCTCAGACATGTGAAAGATGTCACGCACACAAAAAAAGATGTAGCTTTTTAATTTTTTTTAACCATTCTAAAAGCATATAAAGCATTTTTATGTAAATACTCATTTCATCTATGAAGTACAATAAGGTAATCAGAATACAAATTCTTGCAAATACTCCATGAAGTACAGTATTTGAGTGGCTGGGAAGAAAAAGAAAAAAACCTCTTCCGCAAATGTACACAGTACAAAAGATCTTATAATAAGTCAGTTAATTAGTAAAGACAGTATTTATATTTACTGTAGGTTACCAGGAAAGAGGCAGAACAAATGTGATTAAGGAAGAAGGAAACAAGTTAAAGCATGCTTTAAGGCAGCCACACCAGGCTGTTCAACTCCAGAACCACCATCCCAAAATATTTAAATGTGAAAAGATCCGCTCTAACAGCAAAACACGTTTACTTTAAATATATAAATAAAGAATCAAAGATATCAGCATCACCTTATTTTACAGCTTTGGGCAGATAAAAAGTCCCAAAAAGCGGCTTTACTTACAGTATTTCGGTGGGTCGTGTTGAATCTGAGTAGATGACATTCAGAAGACTCGGTATCTGCTACCTTCTCCGCCTCATCGGTCCATTTGAGTCGGTTCACACCAGGAACTGGAGTCCTTTTTCATTTGGATGACAAGGGCATGACGTAATCAACGCACACGAAACGCTCCCTTCAGGGGATCCTCGTAATTTTTAGTTTCACGCTCAAAACTACAGTACTTGGTGTTTCTATTTTACTTTTAACTCATTTTTTTTTAAATAAAAAAATTAACATTTTAATACGTGTTTTCCCATGTTAAACGATGCGAAGACATGTTCTTACAAATAATAAAACAAAAACGATTATTTTAGTTATATGACCGAACAAGTGTAGAAGAAACCTTAGTAGTATTTTTTTTTTTTCAACCTTGAACATAGTTAAATTTAAACCATTTTTAAGGCTATCAGTATCAAACTATATATTTTTGAAAACATAAAGTACCAATAAACAATTCGATTAACGGATTTTATTGAAGCAATTTTATGTTATCAAGCGAATAAATGTATTTAAATGCAGCGCTCGCGCTTTGACATCTTACTTAAACTGCACAATCACAGTGAGTTTCACAGTGGAGCCTCTTTACCGCAGTCTTAGCATAAAAACAATGTTTTCAAGTTCAGTTAAACGTTTATAAAAAATAAAGAATTTAGTATTAATTATGTAAAAAGTAAAATAACATGTGTACATGTAATTAACCTTGATTGTGTAAGTTAAACCATAATGTTTGTGGGTTAAGCTGCACAGGTTTTGGCCAATTAAGCAAAGCTAACAGCAGCTTAAAATATTAAAGTGTTTAACTGTAAACAAAATTGATTTTATATTTTAAAACAAAATTGTCCATCCATCGCCTTCTGCTTGTTCTGAAGTCAGATTGCAGGGGCAGCAGCCTGAGCAGGGAGTCCCAGACGCCTCTTTCCACCTCTTCTGGGAGGATTCCAAGGTGTTCCCAGGCCAAGTGAGCCGTCTCTCTCCAGCATGTCCGGGGTCTCCTCCCAGTCAGACACGCCCAAAGCACCTTCCTAGGGAAGCGCCCAGGGAGCATTACCAGATAGATGAACCACCTCAACAGGCTCCGTTCGATGTGGAGGAGCAACGGTTCGACTCAGTATCTCCTGGGTAACTGAACTTCTTACCCTATCTCTAACAGAGAGTCCAGCTACCCTGCGGCGGAAACTCATTTCAACCACCTGTATCCGCGATCTCATTCTTTCGGTCACTACCCAGAGTTCATGACCATAGGTGAGGGTAGGAACGTAGACCAACCGGTAAACAGAGAGCTTCGCCTTACAACTCAGCGCCCTATTCACCATAATGTACCAGCACAGAGTCCCCAATACTGCAGACGCTGGTCCACTCTGTCTACCAATCTCATGCTCAATTCTTCCCTCATTCATGAACAAAACCCCCAGATACTTGAACTCCTACACTTGAGGCATAACCTCAGCCTCAATCCGAAGAGATCAATCCACCCTTTTCCGACTAAGGACCATGGCCTCAGATTTGGAGATGCCGATTCTCATCCCAGCCACTTCACACCTCGGCAGCAAACTGCTCCAGTGAGAGCTGGAGATCACGGCACGATGACGCCAACTGGACCACATCATCTGCAAATAGCAGAGATGGGATCCATATGCTCACTGGCTGCACCGAGAAATTCTGTCCATAAGCTATGAACAGAACTGGTGACAACAGGCAGCCCAGGCAGAGTCCAACTACCACCCTGAAGGGGTCCGACCTACTACCGGCAATACAAACCAAACTCTTGCACCAACTGAATAGGGACCAAACAGTCCATAGAAACGGCCCCCCAATCCCATACTCACGTAGCAACCCCCAGTGTACCCCAAGGAACACGATTGAAAGCTTTCTTAAAGTCCACAAAACACATGTAGACTGGATGGTAGACTGGATGGGCAAACTCCCATGACCCCTCGAGGACCCTAGTGAGGGTAAAGAGCTGGTCCAGTGTTCCACGGCCAGGATAGAACCTGCAGTGTTCCTCCTGGATCTGAGGTTTAACCAACGATCGGACACACTTCTCCAGTACCCCGGAATAGACCTTACCAGGAAGGGAGGCTAAGGAGAGTGATGCCCCTACAAATGGAACACACCCTCCGGCCCCCCTTTTTGAAGAGGGGATCACCACCCCAGTCTGTCAATCCAGTGGCACTGCCCCCATGTCCATGCAATGTTGCAAAGGTATGTCAATCAAGATAGTCCAACAACATCCAAAGACTTAAGGAAGTCAGGGCGAATCCCCCCACCCCCCAGAGCCCTGCCGCCGTAGAGCTTAACTGTCAGCCACAGGACGGACCAACCCCGAAGTCCACAGACTCCGCTTCTATGGAAGACATGCTAGTGGGGTTGAGAAGGTCCTTGAAGTATTCCTTCCACCTCTCGATGACATCACTGGTTGAAGTCAACAGCATCCCACTTTCACTGAACAGTGTTAGTAAAGTGCTGCTTTCCCCTTCTCAGCCGCCTGATGGTTTGCCAGAATCTCCTCTGAGCCGACCAAGTCTTTATCCAAGATCTCACCGAACTCTTCCCACATCTGAACTTTTGCCTTTAACAGTCAAGGCTGCAGACCGCTTGGCCTTCCGGTACTCCTCAGCTGCCTTCTGTGTCTCACCAACTAAAAAGGACCAATAAGAGTCCTTCAGCTTGACAGCCTCCTTAACCCGGGGTGTCCACCGAGTTCCAGGATGGCCACCGCAAGAAGCACAGACAACCATGCGGCCACAGCTCAAGGTAGCCACCTCAATAACTCAGGTGTGAAACATGGCCAACTCAGACTCAATGTCCCCTGCCTCAGCTGGGATGCGGTTAAAGCGCTCCCAGAGGTGCGAGTTGAAGATCTTTCTGACAGGTTCTTCTGCCAGGCGTTCCCAGCAAACCCTCACTACACTTTTAGGACTATTGGGTTTGTCCGGCATCTTCCCCCGCCATCTGATCCAACTCACTACTAGGTGCTGATCAGTTGACAGCTCAGCTCTTTTCACCCGAGTGTCCAAAACAAACGGACGCAAATCAGATGACACGACTACAAAGTCAATCATCGATCTACGACCTAGTGCGTCCTGGTGCCAAGTGCACTTATGGACACCCTTATGTTTGAACATTGTGTTTGTGATGGACAAACTAGCACAGAAGTCCAACAACAGAACACCGCTCGGGTTCAGATCAGAGGCCGTTCCTCCCAATCACGCCCCTCCAGGTCACACTGTCACCCACGTGGGCATTGAAGTCAAACAAAATTGTCTAGAAATTAATTTTTAAACTCACAAAATGGATTTGTGCAAAAATGTAATCTGTCCGGTCTGGAGGTTCCAAACTAACAAGTATTTTAAGCAGCGCCGCTTGGCTTTTTGCTAACTGACATAGTGACATTAACAAAAATGTGTTCAGCGCAGATATTCCTAGAAAACCCTAAAAAAAAAAAAATCCCATAATCACCTGATCATCTGTTTACTCAAACTTTCAATGCTTTAAATGATACTAATGTAATAAAAACAGCAACATTTGAAGGTACAAAGACAAAGTGAACAAAAATGTTGACTATGTAAACAGTTTAATAATACGAAGACCAATCTAATTATTTCCAAAGAAATGAAAACTAATACTTAACAGTGCCAGAATGCAACACAGTCTTCATCAAAAGGTATGGTACTGAATTTCCACATTTCAATACAAGGAAAGTTCACAATGTAAAGATTTATATGTTTTACTGTAATAATAGTAACATCTTGGTTGGAAATTTTCATGGATATTAAAAAGCCCCTGCCAAACTTATGAATATCAACATTATCTGCAAAAAAACTAAACAAAATAGAAAATTTACATTAGACCATTTTTACAAATGATCTTTGTAGAAAATCACTGTCTTGTTTTTGAAGTTTTATTTATCAATTGTATCCAATTAAACTCAACACACGAGCGCTGTTCCATAAAAAAACCTATTAAAAAATCTAAAAAAAAAAAAGTGAAAAATATATTTGCACATTATTAATCAGCAACAGTTAAAGTGGTCAATTAAAACAAACGTGGCGGTGGAAGCTGCCTCAAACATCTGCAACAAGGAAAAACGTCAATTTGTTACAATCGGTGACGCACGATGTGACGGTTCAGTTCGGCGATGTTCGCGAGGTTTCGCCCGCAAAGTGCACAAGTAAATGGTTTCTCCTCATGCAGGACTTCAGCAGCTACATCTGTGGTTGTGACTTCACCTGAAGAATATGAGAAATTAGCTTGAATTGTTGTTCAATACGGTTTGGTACAACTGCAGTTAATGTTCATCATAAAGGACAGTGTATTTAACAAATCGCAGCTGGTTACTTGATTATTATTATTGCCGTTTTAAGCAGTTAAAAAGGGTACAATCTATAAGAAAAACTCAAATTGTAGGGTAAACTCTTGATGCAAACATCCTTACCGGTGCGAATATTTGAAGTTTCCTGCTTCTTGTGCTCGGTCTCATCCTCTGTCATCTCAACTTCCTCCTCCTGCTTTAGCCCTAAACTTTCAGTCGCCTCTTCCTCCTCGCAGGTTTCAAGACACCGCCGTTTCTCAACGTGGCATTCTTTCTCAAGAACTGGCATTTCTCCACAAGGTTCTGACGCCTCCGTGCAGGCTTCCGGGCTTTGTTTTTGTTCCTGCTTACACAGATAGAGGTCTACACTGTCCTTACAACTACCGGTAATTTGGAGTTGCGTGTAATTGGATGGAAAAGTCATTGAAATACTCTTGAAACTGACCCCCTCCTGAGCTCTCGTGCTGTTCGCTTGGTTCATCTTGGCTGCAATAATAGCGTTGGCTGGAATTTTGGGGTTCTGGGCCAAAGTGGTGCCGTCCTCGTTATCTAGTGATGTATCATTTATATTACAATCTACATTCCTTGCCTCGGTGTTGGGCTCCATTTTAAAAGTGTGCTTCTGATTTTTCCACTTGTGAGATTTGCTGCCATTTTCATCCAGCAGTAAGATGTGTTGAACTATGTCGTCCTCCACCTTTACATCGATGCTCCGTGTATCCTTAATTTGGAGCTTGCCGGCATGTGCAGTATCTGCCGTTTGGAAACAGGATGAGCTCTCTTCTTGGTTATCTGTGGGTCTTGACGGATACTTATTTGTCTGCTCTTTCTCTGGCTCACTACAATCCTCCGGCTGAACACCTTTGTTGATATATTCCTCCAGATCTTGCTCTGTCTTTATCACAACCTGACCTTCTGCAGAAAAAGTCAAAGATACATTCATTACTTCAGTCTTCAAGCCCTGCTCATGTCTCTTTTGGACTGTAGTGTTTGGATTTGCGTCGTCTTGAATGTCTGATGAAGAACTCTTCTTCGCAGGACTTTCTTCATTTTCATCCAGCTCTTGCTTCCCTTGTGCCTCCTCAGATGAAAGTACAGTTTTCTCTTGGGTGTCATATTCTGCAACGCTGTTAGTTTGAAGAACTTCATGAAAGTCAGCAGCAATCGCTTCCGTTTCCACCTCTTCGTTGTCAGTGTTGTAGCCATCGTTCTCCTCTAGCATCCTGCCAATCTTTGCTTCTACCTGATCGAGGCTCACCTGACCAACAAGCTCGTGATTCCTCAAGACCTGCATAAAAAAATAAGTAAATAATGAATTTAAATCTAAAGATTTTGATAGTTTTAGGCTGTGGAAGACTTCAAAATTAAAACTTTTATTTGCTGGTTTTAGCTGCTACAAAAAAAAAAAACAGTTTTACTGAATCAAATCTGTCTATCATGCCTTTTTTTAACAATCCAAGTGGACAGATGGCTGTTTCTTCAGACCTAAAGGAATTTCAGTGACGCACAGAAGGCTCCAGAGACAAATCCTCACCTGATGCTTATCGCTCAGGTGTGCCTCCAAGTCGGTCAGCCGAGTGCAGTCGAAGTAGCACAGCCGACACTGGTAAGGTTTGACGTCATCGTGCCTCATCATGTGCAAACGCAAGCTTTTGTCGCTACCGCTAGAAAAAGTGCACTTGTGACAGCGGAAGACCACGCCCTGAAGGTAGCGGGACAGTTTCGGACGACGTATCTCTATCGGCACAACACGCTCCTCTGAAAACACAAAACATAAGTGTCAAAACAGGAAGATTTGTGTACACACGAGTGGGTGAGACACTGAATCCTGCGACGCCTCGGACGTACCACGATGCAAGACGATGTGATCAATCATGTTGTTCTTGTTCTTGGTCTGGTAGAGGCAGAAGGGACAGCGAAGATCCTTCTGATGAGTAGGTTCGGACTGACAGGTGGAGTGGCCCATCTGCACGTGCATCTCCAAGGTTTTCCTAATGAAAATAAATAAATACCGAAATGTAAAAATGTAACACACTTGAATAGAACAGGGTAAATAACTCTGCTGCTGCGGCTTACCGTGAGCAAGTGAAAAACTCGCAGTCTTTACACCGGAGCATTTTTTTCCCGTGGCGGTTCATGTAGTGTCGCCGGATGCTCGACAGGTGTTGGGTGTTGAAGTTGCACATCTCGCACTGAAAGAGGCAGTTTTCCGGCAGCGTTAACTCCAAGACGTTGGTGTTAGTTTTGTCCGTGATCTGCGCCATCAAGCTGTAGTGGTTCAACTGCCGCTGCACGTCTGCAGGCTCCGAGTACATCATTTCTATCAGGGCAAACGATGCAACGATACGTTAGAAGGACCACCGGAGCAAGAACAGATCATTGTGGTGCAAGTTAAAACAGGAGCAGCGTGACTTGCCTTCAGTTTCTTCTGGTTCTTCATCAAGCTCCAAGTTAGTTTTCTCTGATGAATCAGAAGGCTCCTTTTCTACCTCCTCCTGAGAGATCATCTCTTCATTGTTGCCGGTGTCAACATTATCCTTCTGAATGATATCTGAGCATTTGGCAGCAGAATTAAAAGAAGGAAAGAAACAGCACTAAGTGCACATAAGAAAAACCTGTGTAATGGTCAGTATATTATCCACACAGTCTGGTAGATTATAGGGTTTGGGTGCAATTTCTGTAATTATCTGAACTGCTTAAAAACCAAACCAGTTTCAATCAACACAAAAGTCTGAACTTTACTGACAGTTATTCCTCCTGTCGGTTCATATACAGTAGTCCCTCGCTGCTTCGCGGTTCATCGCGGACTCACTATCGTGGTTTTCAAAATAAGATTGGACATGGCACAATTGGCTGATTGATGGATGAGCCGCACGATGGGCATGGAATTTTTATTTAAAATAAATTATTTAGCACCTCCTGCACCTTTGTGCAGCCCACACTGCAGGATAAGCTTCCTCCTGCAGCTGATCAGCTGTTCACCGTGCGGAGCAGAGAAGTGGGCGTGGCCAAGAACGCTTGCAGGTGGCAAAGAGCAGACGAGGCAAGGAGCTGAAATCACGACATTCTGTGCTCTTTTAGAGCATTTAGGCTTTAGAAACATTGTTTAGAATATTACATGAGTGTGGGAAGGGTTTAAAACACCTTAACACATGTATTTATAAATACAAAAATAAACTACTACTTATTACTTGTACTACTATTCCTACTTGGTGGTTTTTTCACTTATCGCAGGTCTTCAGGGTACGGATCCTCTGCGATAAACGAGGGACTGCTGCATACTGTATCAAATGACAGCATGTTTGCGACAGCCTATAAGACTTAACCAAACATTGGCAGGTTAGGCAAGGTTTAATTATTATTTATGTGGCTCAGTCTTTAACAGATTATAATCCATCAGCATAACCTGACAGTCAAACAACAGACAATCCGTGAAAGCAATCAGGTTCCTTTGCATCTTCTGAGTGGAAATAATAGGAGGCAGGAGGAGACTGGTGTCATTCCTGAAATACTTCCTCTTGTGGCCAAGAAGAAATTCTTGCTTTTACACTGTTCTCATGCAGGATTCTAGAGTTTAGACATTTCTGACCAAGTTTTCTGACCTTGATGGTTTTTCAGAATGTGGCTTCGCACGAGGCTCATGACATTCGACCGATAGGAACAGCAGCTACACCGGAAAGGCTTCAGAGTCCCAGTTTTGTAGAAGATGTACTTTTTGATGCTGACGAAAGAGCAAAAAAGGTCAAATAAAAACAGTAAAATATCCTACATTCAAACAAGAACATTGGTAACATTGCAGCTTTGGCCAACTACAGTGAATTTACGCTAAGCTTTAGTTGCTTCACGTACAGCATTTTGTGAATTCTGGAAATCAAAAACAAAATCTTTACTTTTGAAATAAAATCGCTGTAAAATACGTAACATTACAAACTAGCACTGTAAAGCTTTAAAAACTTAGTGACGTGTAAAAATTATTCCTAAAAAGTGCCCACTTTTTATTTTCCGCAATAACCAATTTGCAAAGCTTGTACAGCAAAAATCACAACGTATTCAATTTGAAATGTTTTGTGTCCGTTGTTAAAAAGTCTCACTTACTCTGTGGTTGTCAGATTGTCCTGATTGTTGAGGGCTGCTATGAAGGCGTGGCTGCGCTCGTGTAAACGTAGTCCTTTCACTGACCTGAACAACCTGTGGCAACGTTTACAAGGAAGTCTGCCCAGTTTTACTTCAGCGTCTGGTTCAGCCTCAGTGACTTTGGAAGCGGACGGTTGGGGACTTGTCGGCAGAACGTCGCCCTCTTCCGACGTCTCGTTCTGCTTGGCGAGCTCCTCCACACTTTTAGTCGCGGACACTTCACCTTGTCTGCAGCGCTGCACATTAAAGTCACGGTGATCGACCTGTAAACGTAGTTCTGGGACAGATCAGGACATCTCTATCACAATTAACCTACCTCCACAGGTTTGGGATCCCATGGCAGGCTGGAAGGTGAAGCCTTAATCTGTTTACTCGCTGCCATCTCCATCTTTGCTCTGTGGCGATCCAGGTGATAACGAAGATTCTTGGTTCCATACAACTTCGTCCAACAGTGGGCACATCTGTAAAGCCCTGTGCTCTTCTTTGGTTTCACTCCAAATGATAACACTGTGAAGTCCGACTTGTTGCCCAAGCGATGAAAAGTATTATAATGGTCGATAAGCGACTCAGACGAGTCAAACATCAAGTCTGGGCATTTCACACACTTGACATCTCGCTTATGTTCATCGTGGGGACTCAGAGAAGTGGGCTTGCGCCTGTTATACTTTTCCAGCAGCTTGTACCTTTCAGTTGAATTCAGTTTGTGAAAGTTTTTCAAGTGTTTCCATAGGTATCCCCGAAAGGATGTCGAGTAAGCACAAAGCTCGCACTCGTACAAAAAGTCTTCGTCCTGCAGCGCCGGCGTGTCCGACGTCTTCGGGGTGCTCAAACCTTCTGCGAGGTCTGCTTCTGACCTCGAGCCTGGAGGATCGTCAACATCTGACATTTCTGCTTCACGTTCTGCTGAAAGCTCGGAAGCTGCTTTCTTAACGTGTTCTTTCTTGCGGTGGGATTTCAGTTTAAACAACGATGGATACATTTGTGGACATCTTTTACACAAGTAACCTCTTTCATAGAGTCCTTTTCCGTTTGAACAGCCAGCAATGTTGGAGACAAATATTTCAGCCGTGTCCAGCCTCGCTGCTCTTACTTCAATATGTGGATGCTTCATTTGACAGTGAGTGAGAACGCCATGGACGGAAACATTCACATATGGGCATTTTGGACACTTGTAGACCAACCGTTTCTCCTTTGATGAGTTATCTTGTCGTTGCCGAGTTGATGGATGATCCCGAGACGATGACTTTGTATTCTTGGTAGCCGTCTTGTACACCGTCGCATATTTTAAAAAGGCAGCCTTTCCATGCCTTTTATAATAATGCCTTCCAAGTAAAGCTTTACTAAAATAAAATAAGTGACACACTGAGCACTTGTATACGGAGTCCTCCGAGACCATATCTGCGTGGTGCTTGTGCATGTGTCGAAAGAGACTAAGTGTTGTGGTGGAAAAGTAACTACAGTGCTGGCACCTCATGCTGACGTTATTCGTCTCACTCAGAAAGGAACCTTTAGACACAGATTTGAGAGAGCTGCAGGGCTTAGCACGTTTTATTTTACTAACAGCAGACGGCTTAGGAGCAGGTTTGAGCGTGCTTGGTGGAGTCTCGTTATGTTCCTGCTCACAGTGTCTGTTCAGTTCATCCAGCGATTTGCAGATCTGTGAGCAGGTTTGACACATGTGCCCCCTGATTTTTAAAGTCTCACCAGATTCACGTAACCTAATGTATTTCTTTCGGTTATATAAATGCACCAGATCCACATAAAGACTGTCCGCACTGGACTCGAGGTCAGGATGCTTCATCTTACAGTGACCGAGAAGTCCATGATGGAGTGTGTTGATGTAGGTGCAATGGGGACACTTAAACACATGCGCAGGCGCTTGGCGTTTTGCTTTTTTTCTCAGTTTGACCACGTTTACAAGTTCAAGGTGTTTCGTTCCAGAGTGAGTGCTGAGACCATGCTGGGAGATCAAAGTGGGAGATGCTTCATCTGCGTCCTCAAGGGGCATTTGGAACGATTCAAACACCCCAGGCATATTATTTAGGTCTTCCAAATGGCTTTTTGCACTTGCTTCATTGTTCTTCAACGGATCCAATTTGTCTTTTTCGTGAACTTCATTGTTATGGCGTGTAAGACCTGACTGCGTGCCACTTTTAAAAGGACACACGGTGCATGGATAAGGCTTGCTGTCGTTTTGTTCTGAACTTTTGCACGTCTGGCTGCCGCCCGTGTCATTGTCCAGATGAGCAGACTTTAGTTGAGATTTCTTCCTTTTTGGACCAGCACACAACCGATTATGTATGTAGCTGAGGCTCGCCGGGCGCCATGTGTGTTGCTCCAGGTAGTGCTCACGGAGCACCAATGAATTTTTGTGACTGAAAACACACCATTCACAGTAGTAGCCTGCTTCTAATGTGCCTAGACGAAAACACTTCTGTAAAATTTCTGAGATTGAGCGATTTGAGTTGTGGGTTTTTCGAAGATGAGCTTTTAAAAGACACAGGTACTGAGTACTGTACTCACAAATATAGCACCCAAGTTTCCTCTGCGTTTCTGAGACTTCTGCTGATGATGGGACTTCCTCAGAGGTTTTGGCAGGTTTGTCCGATTTTTTATTTTTCTTCTCCGTCTGTTTCTGGTTTGCAGCAGATTCCTGAGTCAGTTTGAGAACCTCAGAGGTGTACAGACAGAGATCAGCAGCCTTGTTGGCAGAACTATGATGCACTTTGGAATAATGAGATAACACAGTGGTCATAGTCGTGTTTCTATAGTTGCACAAGTCGCAAAAAATTTTATCTTCATCACCATCGTTTAGGAGAGGAAACGGTAGATAAGTAGAAGAGAAGCTTTTTCTGTCAGATTTTGACTTTTTGATTTTCTCTCGGATCACAGCTGTGTATTCATCGGTTTGTCGAATAGTGATATTTTTGACATGGTGGGTTTGACATTGATGAGTAAACACTCCTTGTGCGCTTGGACTTCCAAAATTACATATTAGGCAGTAAAACAATTTTTCCGCATCGGCATAAGCATCAAGCTTTTCCACAGAAACATCATCAGCGTCATCTTCTTCGGGGCAAGCTTTTGTTTTGTTGCTTATTTTAACTTGTTTTTTTGCCTTAGATGGAGTCGGACTCTTAACTGCATTTGTTCTAACATTAGCACTATATTCCACGATGTCTTTCATAGTTATTGGTGGCTGCATAAAGTGTTTTGCAGAATGATGACCAAGAACACTTCTGACTTCACAACCCGTGTAACTGCAAATCTGGCAGTAGTACACGTTTGCTGCTGAACTAGAGGACTTGTTGCCCGATCCAGGCATAATTTTTCTGTTACTTTCAGAAGATGACATCTTTGGTGTGGATTTATCCTGCAAAGATTCCACAGGTTTAGTTGGAGAAGCATCCAAGGGCTTCTCGTATGCCTCAGCTGTGTGTTTGGGCAAAAACAATGCACTCTTTGCTTGCAGCGACAGCTCTGGTTTGTTGTTTGTTTCGGGTACCACTTGTGATGCACTATGGGCTGAATGCTTAATTTGATCTATTGTAACTACCTTCTCTGGATGTTTCTTTTGGTAGTGAACATGCATAACAACAGCTGATTTATGCAGAAACCCACACTTGCTGCATTTATACAGTGTCACGTCTGGTCCATTAGAAGTAGGATGCTGAGGTGAAGATGTATTTTTGTCCTCCTTACAAGGTGTATGGGTCTTCTCGGGTGTTTTTGAACTGGACGTTTTTTCTTGCGTTTTACCCAGAGTTATTTCATCCTGGCATTTGCTCTCAGAATATTTACAGAACAACAAAGGACTGTTTAATTTGCAAGTTGGATGCTTTTCCTTGTAATGCTCTCTTAAGGCCTTCATCATGGTGGTGGTGAATGGACATGAAAAACATTTAAAAACCAAGCTTTGCTCATTTAGCTTTAGCTTGAACACATCTGCAGCCCCGGGATGCTTTTCCGTGTAGTGCCACTTGAGATCAACTGGGCTTAAAAACTCAACTGGACACTCCAGGCAGCGGAAGGATGCATTCTGATCATTTTGGATCTGAATGTAGGACGCATTACATCTGACATAGGGGTGGTAATCGTGATAATGAGAAGTCATACGTCTAAAACTCCCATCTCTGTAGTCGCAGTGCTTACAGGAGTAAACAACTGGGTTCGGAGAGTCTCTACTACCAAGACTATGCTTATTTTCCTCTTCATCCTCACTGAATTCAAAAGAAAAATCTGTGCTGAGTGGAGGTGATTGACTTGCATTTTCTTGGTCTGAAAGTGTTGTCTGTTTTGTTCCTAATTTAACTTTTTTTGCAGGAGGACCTTCTGAACTACTGCTATTGCTACTCTTGTCAATGCTGTTATGAAGTTCTTTGCATCTGTCCTTAAGCTTGGGTGCTCTGTAGTTTGTGATGAAATGTTGGTCATTTTGCAAAAACTTATTAGAGTCAGTCCCACTAGAGGAAATATCAATCAGAGATGTTGCTCTACCGCTTGAACTGGGACTAAAGCAGGAGGGAGACTCCTGCAAAATCAGAGCTCCTTTATCATCAACTAACTTTGTATGTGGGTTCTCAGCTGATCCAGGTGATGCTGCAAAGACCTTAGTGATGGTTTGCTGCGGCCTCTTGTATGTTTTCAGATCCTTTGAAATTTTGGGTGAACTTTTAGCGCTTGAGGTAGGCATAAGGGGAAGAAAATAATGATCATCTTCTGTTTCTGCAGCTTCATTGCACTGGTTTGTCGAACTGTCAAGTACTTCGCTCTCGGCGTCTTCAGAAATGACTACAGCGTCAATTAAGTTCTGCTCTTCAGTCTTCTGACACACTTTCTCGTGCCTGTTTAAAACGTCCTGATGATGAGTTTTAAAATCACAAAACTGGCATTTGAAAGGCTGCCCTGAACGTCTGCTATTGCAGTTTTCACTGCTAGCTGCGTTACTATCCGCGTACTTCAGACCAGCACCTCTGAGCGCAGCATCCACCTCTAGGAAATGTACTTTGCTGAGATGCTCATAAAGGTACACCTTGGATTTGAAGATTAGGGGACACTTAATACAATCATAAGACCTGATCGTGGATGACTGGGCGACTGCTTGATTGCTGGATTCCTTGATGTGCTCAAAGGTAGAAAGCTTCACAGAATCTAAAAGTAAAAGATACATTTGTTAAGTATGCAGCCTTCTTTACTAAATAAAAAAAATGGATGACAGTTCAACACATACCACTTTGCATCTTGATTTCCTCATTCAGCTTACTCAAAACAGATGCATACCTACATTATTAGAAACAGGAATTAGTAAAACAACAAGGGTCCGTTCCAGAAAATACTTCATTATTTTGTTACAACACTTGCGGATGGAAGATGTTTATAGGAAAAAACACAAAGCCGGTGTCCGTTTTAGAAAAAACGAGTGACGAGCGGACTGAACAACTCTTTAACTAACTTTCTGTGCTACACACAGAGGACGGGAAAACACGTCTTTCTTCAAAATAAATAAAACAACAAAACTGCCTCAAAAACTATCAAGATGGAAAATACCAGCCGCTTTAGCACTCGCTGCGCGCAGTTTATGTACTCACACTTGAAGATAAACAAGAGAAAAGGCTCATAAGGCGATGTCTTGAAACACTTATGTTGTTAGCTTGAACACACAGCACGTTTCCGCCATTTTTCCCGCGACTACAAAACCTGCGCGATTTATTCTCGGTATTTTCCTTCTTCTTCTTCTTCTGCTAAGCAGCTTCCTTCCTGCTGAGACATATTATAAGATGGCGGAGTGAGCAGTTGCAGCTTGCAGGCTCCGGTGTAAATAGTTTGTAAACAGTCCTTGAATGTTATTTTATGTGCTTCTGCTGCGCGCAGCGAGTTAACTGAAAAGCTTCTAAGAAGTCTGGTGAATGTTTTGAAGCGAAATATAAACTTTGCAAGTGTTTTTTCTGAACGGGCTAACACGTGGACGAAAAGTTAGCTACGATGGACGAACATGACTACGGCCTGGTCGCTCTTCCCAGTGTGAGTGAAGATAGAGACTGCAATAATACTGACGTTGGAGCTGATGAACAGATGTCTAAGACGGAAAAGATCAACCAGGAACACACTCCAACTAAACCTCCCAACTCTAAAAGGCAGAAGAAAGGCGACGACGACCCTCAGCGTGAGTGCGACCTTAAGACTATTCTAGAAGCTGTGAATTCACTGACATCAACAGTGAGTTCACTGATGAAAAAGGTTGATGCACAAACTGAACTTCTGCAGAAGTATGAGAGAAAGATGGAGGAGAATGCTGCTGCTATTAAAGTGAACAAAGAGAGCATAAAGGGGCTGCAGGAAAAAGTCAGTGAGCTTGAAGAGGAGAACAAACAGCTGAAGGAGTCTGTGATGGAACAAGCTCGATACAAAAGGAGATGGAATTTGAGACTGAATGGCCTTGCAGAAAAAGAGGGGGAAAACACCAGAGAGGAGGTTATTGGCATTTTGACCAGAGTGGTGCCCATCTCAGTGGATCAGCTTCGTGGGACAGTCGACACCGTACATCGCCTGGGAAGGAAGAGTGACCCCGCCACTTCAAACAACGCTCCGCGGTCAATAATAATCCAGTTTGTGGCAAGAACGGTTCGAGACGAGGTCTGGAAGAGATCCAAGGATGCCAGGGTCTGTCAGGAGAAGCGTATCCAGTTCAAAGAAGATTTCTCCAAAGAAGACAGGGAAGCTCGCAAGAAGTTGTGGCCGCTGGTACGAGATGCCAGACAGCGAGGGCAGAGAGCTTTCCTGAAGGAAGGATACGCTCTGATCAACAACCGCAGAGTCGACCCTTCATAGACACTCACTGAGCTTTTCACTCTGAATTTTATTCAGTCTTATTACGATAAATGATAACAATAGATAGATAGAGTTTCGATTCACCTGATATGCCTTAAAAGTTAAATGCACCTTATTCAGATAGTAGATGGGACAAGATTTCTCATTCCTGCACATCTTATGATTCCGTGTTCTACCTCAAAAGTTTTTAGGTATATTATCTTTTATTTCTTTAAATGCTAGGGGGCTTAAAAACAATGTGAAACGAAAAGCTGTTTTTCTTTTTTGTAAGGAGCAAAGAGCTAATTGTGTTTTCCTACAAGAAACTCACTCTGGTGAAGACGATGTGAACTTTTGGAAGTTACAGTGGGGTGATTCTGTTTTTTTCAGTCACGGGACGTCACACTCAGCGGGTGTTATGATTCTGTTGAACAGATTTCCAGGCAAAATTTTACATCATACTAGTGACACAAACGGGCACTGGCTGATGGTGATAACAGAAATTAATGATGAAAACTTTATTTTGGTGTGTGTTTATGGTTACAATGAAAGAGGCAAAAACAAAACTTTGATATCTGACTTATGTCAACATATTACAGATAGTATGCATTCTTACTCAACAGATAAAGTTATAGTTGGGGGTGATTTTAATTTGGTACCCGATCTATGGTTAGACAGAAATCCACCTCGGGTCCACTGTCATAAATATGATGACCTGATTGTTCAGTTAATGAATAGTGCAAATTTGATTGATTATTGGAGAGTTAAACATCCTGGGACTTGTCAGTTTTCCTGGTTTAATGCCTCTGGGAATGGTCTAAGCTCTAGAATTGATTACTGGCTCATTTCTAATTCTTTGATAAATCATATTAATAAGTGTGAGATATCTGCTGCACCTTTAACTGATCATTGTGTTATTTCTCTATCTCTTCTGTTTTCAAGGTCAGATCCTGGTCTAACTCCTGTTTGGAAATTCAATAATACTCTTTTGCAGAATTCTGTTTTTGGTGAAGATGTCAGACAGCTGGTGGTGGAGGTCAATGCCTTGGAAATGTCAGCTGTGAGTAAATGGGAATGGTTCAAATTTAAAATAAGGGAGCTGGCTATTGATACAAGTAAAAAACTGTCTAAATTGAAACAACAACAACAATTTAATATCATTACAAATATTAATAGTCTTAGTAAAAAGACGGATCTGTCACCTGAAGAACTTGTTGAACTAAATAAATTACAGAGTGAACTAGATAAATTATATGAAGAAAAAGCTAAAGGTGCTTTCATTCGTTCTCGAGCTCGCTGGATTGAAGAAGGGGAGAAAAATACATCTTATTTTTTCAACCTGGAAAAACACAGGCAACTAAAAAAGAAAATCACTAAGTTGAATATAAATGGATCTGTTTCTGAAGATGAAACTCAGATTAATAGAGAATTACATAATTTTTACAGTAACTTATATAAATCCAACTACTCTGAGACAAACTGTTCAACATTTATAAACACCATAAGAGAATTCAATAAAGCAATTGATCTAGATTTTAAACAATTTATGGAAAAACAAATTGAACTTGAGGAGTTGGATAAGGCTATTTTGAAGATGTCTACTGAGAAGTCTCCTGGCTTGGACGGGCTAACAACTGAATTTTATAGATTCTTTTGGAAAGAGATTAGAGAGATGCTTTATAAAGCTTTCTTAGACTGTATCTCATCAGGTAACCTCTCTAATACTATGAAACAAGGGATAATCACCTTAATTCCAAAACCTAATAAAGATGTGCAAATGCTGGATAACTGGAGACCCATCACTCTGCTGTGCACTGATTATAAAATTTTAGCTCATGTTTATGCTGATCGGCTGAATAGAGGACTTAAAGATATAATTGATGAAAGTCAATCAGCCTTTGTTAAAGACAGAAATATACACAATCATATTAGACTGGTCCTTGATATGTTGGATTATTGTGACTGCCTTGATAATGATAGTCTGATCCTGTTTCTTGATTTTTACAAGGCATTCGACACAATTGAACACGCTTTTTTGTTAGAGACTTTAAGGTTTTTGGGTTTTGGTGATTCATTTTGTGGATTAATTAGGATGTTTTATAATGATATCTATAGCTCAGTCTCTTTAAATCCAGGACTTACTTCTAGATTTAAGATCCAGCGAGGCATCCGTCAGGGTTGTCCTATCTCCCCAAAACTGTTTATCTTGACTACTCAGTTACTAGCTCTTCAAATTAATAGCAATCCCGAGTTAAAGGGAATTAATTTTTTTGATAGAGAATACAAGATTAGTCAATTTGCCGATGACACAGCATTGTTTTTAAAAAATGATTTAATGGTTGAAAAAGCCCTTAATACAATTTCACTATTCTCTAAGGCTTCAGGTCTTGGACTTAACATTAACAAATGTGAGATCCTTCCCATTCATAACTGTATTCATCAAAACATCCAGTCAATCAGAGTCGTACATGAAGTTAAATATTTGGGTGTACTAGTATCTAAGAATGCAGTTAGAAGGGAAGATGAGAACATCTCAAACCGCTTAGTGGGTATGAAACAAAGTCTCAGCCGTTGGTTGACAAGAGATCTGACTATTTTTGGAAGGAACCTGTTGACTAAAGCAGATGGCATTTCCAAGGCTGTTTATCCATGTCATTCTATGTATATATCACCACAAAACATAAGAAAAGCCAACTCTATTATCTTTCAGTTTTTGTGGAAAAATAAGACTCATTATGTTAAAAGGTCCCAACTAGTTAAAAAACATGAGCATGGTGGTATCAATGCACTAGACTTTGAAGCAATGGTTGGAACATTTAGGACTAAATGGTTAAAAACCTTTTTACAACAACAAAATTCAATGTGGTTTCACATCCCTGCCTCCATTTTTAAGCAGCTGGGAGGAATTGACTTCCTTGCAAGGTGTGACTTCGAAGTGACGAAGATTCCAGTTAAACTATCAAACTTCCACAAACAAGTTCTTCAGTTCTGGAAAATGATATTTCACCATAATTTCTCACCTCATGGATCAACTTTGTGGAATAATAGAGCAATCACAGTGGGCAGAAAGTCAATATTTAGAAAAGACTGGTATGAAAAAGGCATCATTTTTGTAACAGACATCTTGGATTGTAATGGAGATCTTTTAAATTTCTCATCTTTTGTTAGAAAATATAACCTTAGCTGCTGCCATAAAGATTTTATGAAGGTATGTAAAGCAATCCCTTTAGCCTTGATTCAGTTAATTAAAAATATCATTATGTATTCAAAGGTGACCGTTTCCATGCCCACATTAAAACTAAATGACTGTAGTTTAGTTGATCTCAAATGTAATAACAAGATGATCAATGAATGCATGCGACAAACGATTTACTATGATTACAACCAAGATTCATTCAAGAAACCTCCCAACATAAATCATAAAACCATAATGACTTCTGCTCATTCGAAATTTGTCAAATGGCCTATATCTCCTAAAGTGAAAGAAAACCATTTTAAAATAATAAATAAGATCTATCCAGTAGCCATGCTTCTGCACAGAAGATTTAAATTTGAGGTGGATTTGTGTACCTTCTGTAAATCTGAAGATGAATCCCTTGAACATTTGTTTTTTTCATGTCAATACTCACAAAGTTTCTGGACTGACATTACAAACTGGATAAATCTAAAACTGAACATTCCTCCCTTTGATGCTGATGCCATTTTATTTTACATGGATAATTTAAGCTCAGCTTACTCCGATGCTATAAATATAGTCATCCTTATAGCAAAGTATCACATTCATTGTAGTAAGTGGAGGGACAATCAGCCCTCCTTCCCGTGTTTTATGAACGAATTCAAGTTGTACTATTCTTCAATAAGTAGATTAAAAAACTGGAAAACTGCTAGAACCATTTCACAACAGATATCAAAAAACTTGTTGTTTTAAGTTTCTCATATTGTTTTGCTCCTTTTTGTTTCTTATGTTTATTCTTTTCATTTAATGTTTTTTATATATGTATTACTCAATTTTTATCATTTTGTAACCCCCCTAGCTTGTAAACTGTAGTTCTGACACCCTTCACGAGTGTTTGTATATATCTTTCTCTTTTGTAGTGTTTTGTAGTTCTGTGTGTTATTAATAAAAAAAAAAAAAAAAAAAAACACAGACAAAAAA